CAACAGAGGCCTCACCGCTGCTAAATCTTCAAGGCGGAGAAAATCCACCCTTATCTACCTAGAATGAAGGTCAGATGCACTAACATGAACTTCATTCCGGTTACTTGAGGTGGTCTTAAGAATAATAGCAACAGGTGGAAAAGCTTCAAGTACAGAAGACATCAGCGTTACGAAGAGTTGAAACAAACGGGAGTATACCATAGATGCTCCATTTTTCTGTCTACAGTAAGACGAAGGTCCAATATGACATAAGGGATACCAATTGCTTCCAACTGAGAATTTAGCACTAGTTATGAATATGCCAAAAACGTAGAAGAGATTGGTAGAGCGAATTATATCCAAAACTCAAGGTGTAGTACGAAGTCATTCCTGGAAAAAAGCATATTAGAAGCCTAATGCTACCTCAACGTAGTGTCGATATGAAAGTCAACCGCACTTTGGTCGAGCTATCAACTTGAGCATCAGGGTGATTCGTAGTCTGTGCAAAAAGATCTCTTAAGATAGTACCGGTGTCACAAACATGACCGAAGAAAGCTCAATGTCTTACCTTAACATGTATCTAAAAATATGCTTCAGAAGTTTAACCTTAAAATACCCGTATCAGCATTGCACATTGATTTTCATGTAATATGATTTCTCATATTCCTTCTAGACAGAGGAGACATTCTGAAATCGACATACAAGAAGGGCTTCCGAATCCCAACATGAAAATTGTTAACAAGCAAGTGAGCTGGGAAGATGAAAGGCATTTTGTAGCCAGTGAAATGAGAAAAGATGCCCTTTATTATCCCTTCTATTGACCAGAATTAACTAGGGCAGTGGGCCGTGATAGTAATAAGGTAAATCGAACCCTAATGCACTATTATTTAGCAGTAACGATGATAATTCCAATGAATATCGATATCTCTTTAAACACCACAGATACCCTGTTTGCATATTAATTAATTATTTAATAGAAAAATAATAGGAGGAAAAGGAAATCATCCAATCTTCAACTTGATCTCTAATAACTTCCCATTGAAGACAAACTCACGTGTCTTCCATGACAAAGAATACGTCTAATAAAAACCAGTAGCACGGAGTTGAATCAGACACGGTGCTTTTTCTCCAACAGGTATCAATATTAACAAGGGAACGTTTTGTAAGCACAGTTGTACCTAGTGCTTTAGTAAACACTCACAAAAGTTATTAAAGAGAGGGAGAAAGAGGGATAGAGAGGATGTAAACGAGGAGCAACAATTATTAGGCGAAAAAGGCAAGGGAGAAGGAATGTACTGTTGATGCGTCGTTATCCACACCCCAGTTGATCATTCTGGTAGTCGGATAGCGCGCACAGTACCACTAACCAGCCAGATCAAATTGGCCAATAGGCAAGCAGATGCATGCGTGCGAGGTGCCTACTAGCGGTAGTTGTGCACATTTAGTCCGAAATCGAGACTAGAACAGCACGCACAGCAGAACGCCACATATAACACAGCATGACTGAATCTGTGCTGCAGGATTTTGCTGCAGATGCAAAGAAACATCCTCTCCGTGCCCTAGCAGAGGCGGATATCGCAAACGCACCTCTCCCGCTATATAACGACTAGTGTATTTTCCCAATACAGTTCGCCTCAGAGACTGTTTTTTGCAAGAACCGGAAAACAGCATTTTCTATATCTAACATCCCCTAATAGGCAATTTTCGACTTGGTTTACTTGGTCTAATATAAAGAGAGAAAACCTCAAAAAAACGTATTAATACAAAGGCTGCACTAGGCTTCCTCATTTTCCATCGGCTCTAAATGAGACTTGTGTGATCTAGTAATAATACGGATTCAAAATCTGTCAGTAAATACAATGACCCCCCTATTTGGTCAAGCGTTCAGATATTCATAAACAAGTCATCCCCAAAGAAGTTCTTAAGGTCTTGTATTGCACTTCGCAAAAAACTGCATAACTTGAGATTGATATCTCAAAGTATGAAGATATATACATACTGAAGTTGTGATGAATTCTAGAAGTATGAATACTCCAAGTTTCCCACTTATTCATCAGAGAAATTGTTTATCTTAAGAGGAGAAAGTCTAACAGCACTCGGCATGAAAAAGGAGAATGTATATTGGAGTGGGATTTGCCTGTATTCCTCTTGTACCAAGCACCGGATTAAGTCATTCCCACAACTTAATGGGCATTAATTTCGTGACCCCTGGTTTGATGGGTTGACCTTCTTAGTGAAAACTAAGTTATTACGAATTGCCAAAAGCAGATTCAATGCAGTTGTTCGATTAGATCGAGACTTCTAGCTGTTATGATCTTTCATGAGGATTGATAAAAAGTGAGCTATGGTTTTCGATGGAAAGTTCAAACTTGTGTCTAAAAGACATAGGATTCCCTTCATACATCCTTCTTTCATCCCTTCTTCATTAGCGTCCAGTAAGACGAGGGGAAGGTAAAAAGTGGTGAAAGCGAAGAAGGAAGTAGTAACATGAATACACTGTAATTTGATAGACGACTTCCTGCCTTAGTAAAAAGTATGAATTTTCTCTGTATTATGACTGCAAATCACTTAAATGTTGTAATGGCAGCATAATATAAACGAGGAGAGAAAAACAAAAAGCAAATTTTCATTCATTCAGTGGAGGTAGACATTGTGCCATTTCCTTCAAGGAATACTGCGTACCCTTGTAGATATCCATAATTCGGGATTAACCTCAATCCCACCATCATTGAATGTAAACAGTCGTTTAATCAGCAGCGTGTTTAGTCTGTTCACTATTGAGGAACAGAATTTGCTAGAGAAGAAGTATTGAATGATTTGGATTTCGCACCCAAATACCCCTTGGAAGCGCGCCTATATAGGGAGGGAAGCTAGTCCTCTCTCTATATATACGAAAATATAGAGATAAATACCACTAGCAAAATACGACGAACAAAATATGCCTTTATAAGCTGATCGAACGCAGGTAGATAGGCAAGCCGAAAGGATGACCTTTTCATTAGCACCGAGAACTGTGAAACCAGTGCGGGGATAAAATCCGAGCGGTAGATATCTCGACAACAAATTATACACGCAATAATGCCTTACCTCATCTTTAAATGTCAAAAGCATATCAATGAGGGCCCACCAATTTAGCTCTGGTTGTTAATCCATGTATTTACAGAGTTGGGAGATGTGGGGGGGGGGGGAGGATTAATGACAAGGGGTGAGTCATGAAACGAGGAGGAAGCCAAGGTGAGGGAGGAGAGATAGGCAGGTCTTGCTACTATCATCTCTTGTCATCAAACGGGTTTCACTGCGAACAATGACAGTCTCACAATTTTGGCATAGAGGGCGAGAGATAAAAGGGTTTATGAATTAGCAAATTAGGGGCCTGGAGACAAGGCAGGACACACACGATGAATAGTATTTTTTTTTACTAACTAACCTGAAAACTCATTCCATATTCACTGGCCATCAACATCACCGTGCATTGAATTACCATAAGTGGCCACCCAATTAGCATATATGACATTAGAGATGCAAATTAAGGGTTTTAAAAGGAGATGAAATATCCCAGTAGTGGCAGTAAATCACTCACACATCTATTAATGCTTGAAGAAATTAGGTATCCGACACAAGAAGATTAACGACTAAGGAAAGCAGATAAAACGAAGCAAAAATTGCCACTGAAGGTCACAAAACTAGTTGAAGAATAACTGTTTGTCATTTTTTGCAACTGATCACTAAGACTGTTCTTCATTATGGTTAGACAAGTGATTCAAAATTCAGCCTGTCCAAGAAAGAATGATAAGATTATCAATCTAAAACTATCACACTGCCTTAGAGACAAGAGTTTAAATTAGCCAAGAGAGGGGGTACTTGAAGGTGAGAATAAGACTGAATTAAACTATTATTGAAAAGGTGTATTTCATAACTTAGCTGGTATTTACCGGCTGTGACACTATAACTCAGAAAGTATAACCAACATTCCGTTCCTAGTTTACAAGTAAATCATTATTGAATAATGGGCATAAAAAACCCACTCGAGGGTATGGGGACATGGTACACAAATTAATGAAAGTAAGTATCACAGTGGCAATCTGAAGAAAGTATAACAATGAAGGCAAATGGTAAAAAATATAATCTGCTTTCGGGTGGCCGATTACTCTAGCCTACATGACCTATAAAGGATAAACAGTTGTAAGGCACCCGAGATAAATTAACTGCTAAATGATTGATAATAAGTAAGTAAGTGGAGGGACAAAACATTATATCTGGCTGGAGATGAAAGCACTGCCATTTATGCCCCATGGAACCACTACTGACCTTTAGGCACCTGGATGCTGCAGCAGGTACGCGCGGGATATACCACTATCACCACATTGTGCATCCCTATTATAGAATTGGAATGAGTCATCGACGTCTAACCACATTAATAGTTATCCTCACATCCCATTTAAGATATCCTTTGAGGTAGAGGGCGAGAGGATAACACACTCCTGCAGTTATAAATGGTTAACTGGGATGGAACCAGTTCAAATTCCAATGATGATTATATATATATATATATTAGCGAAGGGATTTAAACCTTAAGAAGATGAGACACATGCAAATTTATTAGTCAAATGGAAAGAGTCATTTTCGTTCCAACAGCGTTCTTCCAGCCTGAATCACAAGACCAACATCTGGGACCCGAGTTGTGCTTCAAAAACGCGATTGTTCATTACCAATACCAACAGGCCTCGAACTTAAGAACCCCCCCCCCCCCCCCGACGAATACGAGAGGGAGGACATAAGAATATCGAGTAGAGTAGAGCTAATTTAGAAAATGCCAGATAAACGAGGAAATTTATTTATTTACATCAAATGGCAGACGTTTTGATAGTTATCATTAGTCGTTTGGCTGACTTCGGACTTCACAGAGGAGAGGAACAGACAAAGTCTGTGCGATAGACTTACCTCCACATGGTGCACCCTGGGCAACGTATTCTCATACGGCAAAAGTCTGTAAACCGGCAGTTGACTTCTCCCTTCAAACTACCATGATAAACGAGGAAATAATGGCACGATGTACTCTTAAAGGAAAGGAAAAACCTATTCTCATCTCAACGAGAGGAAAGCCTGTTATCTCAAATGAATTCGAAAGGATTAAAATTGACCACGAGAAAGACACAATTTTTCACTGTTTTCCAAATGGTAAGAAATGAAACAAGAACTTAACTTACTTCAAGGTTTCCAGGAACGGTGATGTGTTGAAAGCCATGAAAGGCGGTTTCTCCACCAGGTAAACGTTTCTCTTTGCGGAATAGAATGATGAAGCGGGTGATTTTAAAGTCCTCGTTTCGCCAGGGTCGTGACCACTTGATGTGGACGGTTCCATCGGGCTGAAAAAAACGAAACTTGAATAAAAAACAAGGGCATAAAGCTCTATTGAATATTGCATAAAAGCCAACATCAAAACCACCGTCTCATAGAGCTATGACTTGTGAAGAGTTTGAACAGTGGATTCCTCTGATAGATCTTTTGGTCAAGCTTCAATAAAGAAGACTTTGTACCGTAAAACACTTGGATAGTTCTGTTTCGAGCCTCAAAGTTTCGATATTAATTAAATCATAAGTTAAAAAAACAATCAAAATATCAATAAAGCTATTGGCCTGATTCATCTTTAATGATCGAAATATGCAACAGATTTGAGCACCATTCTGCAAAAATGCGATACTAAATTGCACGCAAATTTTCATGGAAAGGAGACTCAGCATCAAACCTCCAGTTACTGGATGTCCTAAGACATAGATGAGTGTTCCTAAACCTTGCGTTGCAAACAGTACAAGATACAAGAGAACACTCATCTTTAGTGGGAAAATGTCCTGAATTAATTACATCTAAAGGCTTAACTAAAAGGTTTTCGGCTTCACCGGGCCGAAAAAGGGGGAAAGGGACGGGCAAAGACTTGAGTTTAAAAAATAAACACGCTTTAACTAAGTTCCACCAATTCCATTACTTATAATCTACAAGAGGTAAAATGGATTTAATGTGCAAACGGTTTGGAGCTGCAATTAAACTCGAATTCTGACATTCACAATTGTTCACTTCGCTTTCATCTTGATGATACTGATCTACTTTTTAATTGCCCACCACACTGTCCCTAGATTAAGGATAGAGGATATTTAATCCGAAAATGTAAAACATCCTTCACTGAGATTCACTTTCAGACCACCATATGCACACACAAAGTCTTAATTGCTCAAAGATATGCCTGCATGATTCAGACAGTAAAAGCGCTAATCTAATATAGACAAATGGACATTAAGCATTTTCCACTTAATGCAAATGAATTCCATTTTCACTGACCACCCACAGTGAATTTTGTGTGCTTCACACGCGAAAAACGAAGTTTCATGCATAAATTGGAATGACAAAACCATATTTTCAGCATTTCAAATAGTGCGGTATGATTACAGAGTACTAATAATTACCCCTTTAGTACCGTCTAAAGTGTAATAAAAACCAAGATGATGCTATTTATCTAACACGCTCAGTCTACATAAGCGGTTGGAAGCTTTATTACATCTTACATGTCTGATGTGAAATCAGCACGTTTTAGTAGTTAGCTTCACTTTAACCAATTTTAAAGCGATTTCATAGTACCTTGCCAAGAAGTGAAATTTCGGTCGTTGGTCCAGTTTTTCGTTTTGAAAAAAACATCATTGTAGCAAATATGGTACTCCAATCTCCTAAATCGTTCGATGTCTTATGCCATATTGGAATCTAGGATTCCTGAATATCACTAGTACTTTACAATTTGATATAAAAGGATCTAACCACCAAGATAATTCTGTTATATTTGATAAACTATAGGTTTTCTTAATGGCAGCCAATATACACGAAGCAGATTCATGAATCATGTTTCCGAAAATATCCAAAAGGACTACTAACAAAAATAGGAAAGTGGCAATAGTTTACCCTTCAAGTAAACCAATGTGAACGAGTACCATATTATAAACAATCTTATCTGGCGTCGCTGTACAGAGAGTTACAAAAGGCGGGAGGGGAAAATCAGGGAAGCAGACGTGATTGCAACCCCCCCCCCATGATGGAGGGGGGAGAGCCTATTTTCATTCCTGGCTAAAATCTTTCCAACATTTTCAAACAGATTCCTGAAAGGTAAGAAAGGGAGGTGGGGTGGGGTGGGGGGGGGGTGATATGGCAGGCATTGATAATGATCTAAACACTACAGGGATGATACATATATATTATGAGAATTCCAAATCTCTCGGGGAGGGGGGGGGGAATAGTTCATAGAATTTACTAACCATTTGAAGCAGTGGGAACAGTATCGGGACAAGCAAAATGCATAACGCGGATCGGATTGGCTATTGCTGGCCACAAAAGGAAGTGAGAAATACGATTGGGTGAAAATGGTTAGGCGAGAAATACAACACGGCGGGAAAACTAACACAACTTCCACCAACTCAATGCAATTTAAATAAAAGAAATGCACTCAACACTGGTGGTTTAGTTGAAAAGATTTCAAGAGAGAAGAGTTATGGTCTTTTGAAAGAAAAATTAATTTGATTAACAATGAAAGCAAATGAAGATGCAAATTGAGATCTAGAAAATGTACTTTCTGCGAAGATCGTTCAGTTTCTTCTTGGGTAGATGAATAAAATGGATTTGAACAACCGGAAGTGGTCATTATTTATAGAACATTGGCATAAATCTAATTTTCCTTGCTATAGCTATCAAGCTACTTTCCCACTGAACTAAGCGGACACAAATATATGAATGGCTAGATTTTTAAAGAAAAATTGGAGCGTGCAAAATTAGCTAATTTTAAGGACTAAAACCTACAAAGTACCAAAGCCTTAACAAAAGTCAACGCGATAAAGTGAAGTTAAAAAAGAACAAACAAGTTAGAGATGGCCAACTTACCAATCGTCGAGCGACTCGAAAGAGTGGAGGTTCAGGGGAAATGTAGTCGAAGGAGAGAGTGGAAGACCAGCGACTCTTCTCTTCTGAAGTCTCAGCATCGAGGTAGACTGCGACAACTTGAAATTGGTAGACCTTTCCAGCCTCCAGTCCGCCTGGCTGCTTGTTTGTCACGTAGATGTATGGCTCCGCAACCTAAAATATGAGAAAATAAGCATTTAGAATTAAAAGAGCTATTTTTTTATTAATTAAGGAGTAGTAAGCTTGAAGCGAGACAACAAATAGAAAAAATTTTGTCAGGAAAATCGAAAAAAATGTAAACTATCATCTAAGCAAACGGAACTATGGCCGACAAACTGAAACAGTCTTGAAAGGAAAAATATGCATTTTGAAGGTCAATAATATCATGATAATTCATTATTGAAGTCTATTCAGGGCAATAAATGCCAAAAAACACAGAATTGAAATAAGTCAAGAACACAAATGCAGTGGAATTCCAAACAACTTCAAATGAAAGGCAGCATGGAAGAGGCAAGACACAGCTGTTGGAAACACTGCTGAGGGAAAGCAATGAGAAGTCCGAGAAATCTAACCAAATTTGCCAACCTAAAGCCCTACCAACTCGAAGTTATATTTATTTTTCAAACAACATACAAGAGAAGTGAATGGTTTAAGGGACTGGACAAGACTGATTGACGCTGAATTAGAATTTAAATATGCCCTAGTACCCTGGATTTTTTTTATTTTCACTTTATATGAGAAATTAGCACACAAGTGCTAACGATCATAAATTCCAGTAAAACAGCGATCTCACGCTGTTTTCAGTGTGGGTTTGCATAAAATCCCCATTTTTAACATAAATGACAGTTCACAGTTTTCTTGAACTAACACCCAGCCTATAGAAATTAGAGAGGCATAATGTACAAGCAAGCCCGAGAGAGAGATTGAAAACATTCAGTGGATGACTTTCACACACAACAAAGAATCAAGTTGAGAGGAAACAGTAGTTTTTATGAAAATTGTAACTTAAAATACAAAATAACATTCGCAGATGGATAAAGCATACAAATAACCTATAGCAAGCTGTAGATAACTAGGAATAATAATATTTCAAACAAAGGTCTTACTCTCGAGACTTCTTCCATTGTGCGGAATTACTTTGAACGTGATAACTGATATAATCTCCATGTATATATACATATATTCCCTACATTTGAAGGTTACATTGAACATATTTTCAACATTATATAAACCTAGGGAACTAGAACTTCCGAAATTCATTATTGGAAGCGTTCACGCCGCTTGATTTAGGTAGAGGGATGGTAACCTGCAGTTACTCTAATGAGAAACGCATTTCAGGATCTCTCTCAGTGTAGTTGAAAATCACGTCAATGTATGGATCTCGTGACCGTAGACATTGAAAGAAGTACACTTTTATCACTGTGCTACTGGTGTTCATTAAGGGAATTAAAACCCTGGCCCTTCCACATCATTCCCTGTACCATCAAGAAATTGCGAATAAGTGCCAAAAGAGAGCAGTGTCTACACCTTTGCAAGGCGCGTGAGGGTAGAGATAAAGTCCAAGATTGAGCAGCAACACAGCTGGACATAACTCATCGTTGAGTCCTCAAAACGCATGCGCTCAGAGACTCACACGTAGTGAAAAGAGATGTAGCCATGTCCAAACTAGCATTACAAGCCGGTTGACTGCCTGCAATCTGCCGCTAGTGGAGGCGAGGCAAGCAAGCAAGCTAGATAGCAGGGAGGTGACTAGTACAAACGGAGAACAGAAGTAAAGCAACAACAGCAGTAAATACACAGCTACTGCGGTGGGTGTGTAGTAGGCATGGCAACTAGTGCGCGAGTGCGTGAGGATTTGCCCACCCAGAGAGAGAGTAATAGGATAGAGAAGCTGCAATTGAGTATACATACTCTACCCTTTAATTTATCTGTGTGTTATTACGTGCCTGCCTGCCAATTCCATGAGTATTAAATGCAGAGATTAAATGGTCAGACATATTGGCTAGCTATAAACATTAAAAAAATGATCGAAGGCGATCTTCTAAGTCAGAAATTCAAACTGCCCAAAAAGAACGCTGAAAGTATATAATGCCACTTACTCTGCCTGAGAGCCGAGTTTGTACCACGACAAACGGTCGAGCCCATTTAACTTCATGAGGTTCTCGGTGACGAAATTGAATGCGGTAGTGACTGAGCTGGCTCTCGGGGTCCTTAAGCGAGGGCCAGGTGAGATTCACGGCCAAATTGTCGCCGATTACTGTCACCTGAGGTCGCCAAGAGGCTGAAAGTGTAGAAAGAAAACAGCCTATTCGATGTATTACCATTAGGAAACGAGCAAGACTTTACTAAATTTGCCTTTGGTTAGATTAAAGTCATTCAGAACATCGAAGCTGAGCACTCACCTGCTAAAACTAGCAAGGCCAAACAAACACGCACAAATAGGATTTCCAGGAGATGTCTATCTCCTGTTTATAGTCATTCCACCGAATAGAGAAGTGGTATCGTCGACGTTTTCGTGAACTAATAAGACCACACTGAATTACAGAATAATTACTCCAGAACCATTATGATGAACCATCTAATTCAAGTAGAATTATGGCGTGAATTTTTGCGTTGAAGTGAAAGCTCAAATGACAAGTGTTGCAAAATCCCACCACATCAATCCTTGATTCCCTTAACTCCTGTATTAAATGTATTCAGTTTTTTCCACAATATAAACTTTGTAACAACTTCCTATACAAAATATCGGTCAAATGCCACCACATGCGCTAGATACGGGTCGTCACACACAAAGGAAGTACATTAAGTAAGACAGGAGTAAAGGTAGAGATATTTGAATTAATAGCGGTTAACGCCTAGCTCTTAAGAGCTCCAATGCAATCTACGTATCGAAATTACATACCTTTATTGTTCCTTTTGAAGCTGCCCTTGGGTGTTTGAGGACGGAAGTCTACATGACTAGCGTTTGCTGGATTGCCAAGAGAGAAACGCCAATCGATTGAAGGTACCCCGGGGTCATCGACCTCAACTAATGATGACGAATCGGCCATTGCGCGGGATCCCACAGAAAATCTTTTGGATTTTTTTGCAACTGGAAGGAAATTATGACACATAAATTGCAAAAAATCGATTATAAAATATAACCTACGACTGCAACACAAGTTACTGGTGTCGGCCTTGTTCGATCACTTATACTATTCTGATAGTCAAGGGTTTGGTGGTAATATTCTACATGGGGAGCCTTTTGAGCAAAAATAGAGAAATAAATTAAAGAGCCAAATCAACCTTAAGTACCCATTGTTGTTATGCATTATCTTTTATCTTTGAAAACATGCTGTAACAAAGAATAAACCATTTCTAAAGAACTTTGAAAATACCATTGAAACTACCAATAGCTAGAGTTTTTAAAGTCGTGCCATTAACTCCTTGCCAAATTTTACCACCGTGACAGACAACGCAAAAATGGGAAAGACAAATACCACCCAGAGATGATTCATTCACTCATCCAGCATTTCATGCGATTCCTTTCCTGAATCTCCTCTTACCCCTCTAAACTAACAACATAGGGCTTTCTCTGCCAAGCCTAGGGAGAAGAAGCAGTTTTATTTACAAATTATTTGGATGCAGCACTTGAACACAAACTGCAAGAATTAACCAAAAATGATTGGAAAATAGCAAACAAGCGCTAAGGTTCGTACAGAACTAGTGAGACAGGCATTTCGTCGAAAGAGCCTACGGTTTTAAGGTTATGAAGAAGCGATGTAAGACTGCTATAAGTTGGCATAAAGATGTCCACAAACAGTCAATCGTCAATACATCGTGGACGTTTTGGAAAGGCATTTGAAGCATACCAACGCGTGAGAGAGCCCGTCAGCAACTAAACTGATTACTCTGTTATGAATGTGAAAGTTACCATTAAGAAATGAGAGAGAATACAATTAGCTATTTTCAAATAGACAAATATCGATAAGTGAAAAGAGACCTTTGAAGCATCTGCTTGCAGGCGCGGTTTGTTGAATTTTCACAAGCATCAAAGACGTAGCTGCTGCAGGCAAATTCCGTAATATTCAAAGTGAATATTTTCCCACTCCTCCATATGCGTCAGAGACCAGTACATGGGGAAAATGGGTTTAATGAAACAAGTTTGTTGAATATGATGCTTTATCATGGGGAAATCGACGTGTTTAAAGTAAAGGAGATTAGAAGTCCGAGCCAATTTGAAGATAAGTACCTTCTTGTCAAATTTTGTGTCATCGAGACAAGTAGAATAATACAGAGACTGCAAGAAATTAAGGCCATAAGAACCACCACCATTCAGTACTGCACAAGAAATTCAAGGGAAAATAACTATTCCTAATGGAACCCAACCCCCCCCCCCCTCCCTCCTCCCACTCTACAATTGCCTTCAGTATCTTCCTCCTGATCTAAAGGATTTGCAGACATCACAATTAGACTAGGGTGAACAGTTCAGTAAAAGCAATTGAACTTTTACATAGATATGCGTACTTGTCTGAGAAACAGCTACGTAGGACTGCATGACCGATTAACCCTATAGGCTAAATAGATTGGTCATAGCATCTGCGAAAAAAGTACATAAGCACTGGAAGAAGGAAGAAAGAATTCCTCCTTTTAATGCTGTCGTACATACTTTTGGCCACTTCAGCAAAGCGTTATTGGACCAAGTGCAAATCACTCATGTGGAGGTGGGGATTGTAACCGGCATGGTTTCATGTACCAACAATTAACCATAGCGCCAAGATGGTCGAATTTCGAATGAAGAGAATTTTTACATGCCCTGTACGTGAAAGCTCCAAGGAAGAAGGCTGGAATTTCCCACTTGGTCCGTGAGACACAGAGGAATTTTAAGCTGTTAGCACCGATTGGAAACAGACTGATGTACTTTAAATAAAGTGAAAGAACTCCTTAATGAATTACATTCCAGCATCTCAAGGATTGAGGCCAAAGGGAATGATATACAGTGAAGTTGAATCGTTCCACCAAGAAATTACATTTATCCTCCGTGGAAATTGCATCATATAAGAAATCAAACTTTGGGTGGAGATATCTCCCTTGTCATATAATCCAGAAAACGTCGAACAGGTTCGTTGTAAGATCATACCTCTCCCGCGTTTGCTGAATAAATTATTCTAAGAAATATTAAGGCCTCGGATCACTAATATGAAAATTGATGGAGGAAGATGGCTTCGTTTGAAAACATAAGTTATTAATAAAAAATAATATTAAGGAAACAACTGAATAAAGGATAATTAATGAACAACAACAAGGCCCAAGAAGAAGCTTATTCTCGGTGCTCATAAAAAACCAAACTTTACAAAAAAAACGGAGCACATTTCAGTGAGAATTAGCGTAAAATCAATGAAACCGTAATCGAGATATGAAGGTTCAATTTTAATGAATCAATAAATCTCAAAAAAATAAATGAAGAGCCATCTAATTACATTCATTGACAAAATAACTCTGTGAAAAAGCATATTTGAAGAGTATCGAGAAGTGATAGGAAATTGTCTTAAATTGATGTTGAATGGTAACAGGTAGTTCCATGGAATATTCTCTGTTGGCAAGAAGATAGTGGTAGAGGCCACAAATGCACACTCAGAGAGGGGAATAGCCAATCATAACGATTAAATCTGGCTGATGGAGAATAATCATTCTTGTCACCACGAGGGCTCAACGATAAAATTCGACTACTAAGGATGAACGCCACAAGATAACCATCTAATTGGGCATTGGAACTAAATTTTACGGAATATAATTACAAAATTCCAAACTTAAAAGTGGGGACACCTGAATAGCTGACCAGTTTGTCGAACTTCTTTCACAAACTACTACGGTACAGCCTATCAAACGACTTGCAATGGAAAAAACTTGTCACAATTGAGGCGGTAGACAGAGGAGGGAAGGAATATTAAATTAGAGACCGACCACTTACTCAAACGTGTGAGAATGTAACAGATATCAAAATTGGATACTCACAAGTGTTGTTGCCAACGCTATTGCCTGTAAGAGGTTGTGCAAATGTGGGATGAGGATGAAGGAGCAGCAAGAGCATGAGAGGGAATAAGAGAATGCAAAGGAAATTGATAAGCCACATAATTTCCATGTGAGTTGCGTAGAGAAGATGTTGATATTAGAAAGGTTGCAACATGCCGTCTAAACGAGGTAAAGAAGAAAACATTAAGTGTTATTGAAAAATGAGTAAAACGTCAATAATTACCCAAAATAAGGAAAAATTATAAAATCATAAAGCAATGGATCAATTCAGTTCAAATTGATGACAAATAAATTCGGTTAATAAGCAAAATGTTTACTGAATTACCGAAAAAATACCAAATAATAGTAAACGATAAAGCATCAAAAGTGAAAAGTATTTGATCTCATCATACACTAAGCGAAGTTGGTTATTTGGAAATATTATGATGGAATTAAATATTTCTTGAAGGAATACTATAAACAAAGGATAAACTAAGGAAGCGAAATAAACTAGGAACGAGCCCAAAAACACTGGAAAGGCAATAAACCAACCAAAAAATAAATAAAAGAAAATAAAGTAAAGGAAGTCCGTCCCAAACTGAAATAACGATTCCCATACAATTCAGAAATGAAATACGAAATTATTATTTTATTAATGTAAATGAGATAAATTTGATAAACAACTGAACAAGACTTTTAGAACTATATTTAGAAAATAGCACTATAAGTGAACACTTAATAAAATAGTACAAGTGAAATCAATTTGAAACGCTTACAACTTAACGTTATTTCAATATCTACAAGTATCAACAACCCTAAAATTGCCGTTTGCTATGTAAAACCCACCGATTTAAATTAGAAAAATGAAGTTATTAATACTATTAATTTTGGAAGTACAGGGCGGAAAGTAAGCATAAAAAGAGATTAATAAAATTGGATTAAATAATGACACATAGTAATGCATAAATTTGCATTCAGTTAAGCGAATTTAATTTTGAAGTGCATTGAAGTTGTCAGAGAAAATACTTACGAATTTATACACGACGACTAGGCGAAATTGAGGCCAGTAAAATAAACGCTTTCTTTCTCATTGGCTAGGCATTTGACTGATGCGCCAAAATTGCCAATTTTTTATTGGAGGGATCTTATAAATTGAATTGTTATAAGCCAAAGAAGGTCACAATAGGAAATCCGGAAATTGCCAAAAAGTGCATCAAACAAATAATTTTTTCTATTTTAAAAATATAAAATGTTCATATTATTAGAATTATAAACTTTTTGGAACTGAAATGACATTCAATGTAAAATCAATATGTCAACCTAGGTGTAAGTTATTCTTATTGAGTAAGTACTTAATTTGTTTGGTTGCTCATTTTTCCATCTTTCATTTTTCTTATATTTTCAAGAAAGCGGTTTTGATGTTTAACGCTGCTTGCAATATGAGACTAGTCACAATATAACCTCGCACATTAGCATTTTATTACCAATGTCCTACTTTGAGGGAACTATTTTTTATAGAAGATTTAAATATAAATTTAATTTTTATTTTGGCTTTTTGAACAATTTTTAAAGTATTCTAGATTCAGAAATGTCTTGTATCACAACAATTATGATAATAGCTCAACATATTATATCATAGTTTTCGATAAAGGCATTGTCTGTCAAGCAGATCGTATCCATATAAGCAGATATTTTGGTAGACTTAAACTACTAAGTCACCAGATTCAAAGCAAATCTGTGTAAGAAAGTTTTTGAGACAGTGGACTTGAGAAAGAAGATGTAATGACATGTTTTGCTCACTTTCAAAATGAATAAGCATGAGTGAATGCAGGTAAATTGATGGTAAGAAGGGGTAAGAATTAATTTCATAAATGATAATACTTGAAAATTTTGTTTGACAAAGGCATTTGGATTAGCAAAGACTTAGATCCCTCTATCCTAATGAGGGTAAATGTTACACTTTATGTGATGGCTGCAATTTAAATAATAAAATCTTCATAAATAGCTAGGTGAATGCGACGAATTACTTGTGTAACTTCTGAAAGTAAGGAATAATGCCATTTGACCATAGTTTGCAATAAGTATGAGAACATAGAGACAGAAGGATTGGAACGAAATTTAAATTTAATTTATATCTTTGAACCAATTTATAGGTATTAGAATACAATTATTCATTATTCGCCACATATTTTCACATTTGTTTAGCTTTCGCACATATCTAAATGCAAGAAAATCAGATTGTTCGTTATTTTTTACTATTTAATCCGTTTGCTAAATTGAAACACTTAGATTAAATTTAAGGAACCTAAGTGAGGTGTCAAACCTCCCGACCTAAAACATTCAATTTTCACTTTTCGCACCTGCATAACTTACGCTACCGCCAAATATCCCAATGCCATATCTATGGTTAGAAAAACAAATCCACTGAACCGATCATCTATGCCATGAGTGTCAAGGTGTTGGTGGGAAAGGTGACAAGATCTAATCTTAAATGACCTCATTCGAGCCTGTAAATGGCCCGAACACCAATTACCCCAAAAGTTATTTGATTAAGGCCACTAATTTGAAAATAATTCATTTTTTTCTTATTGCAGGAAACAATTTTGGCTCTATTTCAATCTCTTCAAATATAAACAACGCTTACTTATTACCCCCTTAGTAGCAATCAGTTGGTGGCTCATTTTTCTTCCATGCAAAATAATACGATTTATCAACCTTTAATTTACTGCTTTTCGTTACGAAAAGTCATCATGTTTTCATTTCCCTGATTTTTCCCTGTTACGAAAGATTTTAAATATGAAATCGTCGATTTTCTTAATTAAATTTGTTTAGGATTAAAAAGTATTGTATATCATTGCAATTAATAGCCAGGAGTTATTGGGAGTGTCACTCACACTGATATTCGTCAATAGGGCAATTGCGTTATCATATCTTTGCTTAAGAACTTTTCTGAAAAAAAATTTCTTGAATAGGACCTTGGAATTTAAACCTGCTAATAAGTGTCCTTTAGCATTCCGGCAGTAAATGTCTTATTCTGACAGTTAGTAAAGAAGGTAATAGAATAAACGAGTATTTCCATGACTCATTCTAATCAATCAAGTTCGATGTGATTTATCAATTAATGTTCTATTCTCAAAAGCCCTATTCTGGAGTAGTAAAACCAATGCAGATTTTTCTGTAACTTTCGCAACTAACAATCTAAGTAAATTTTTAAATTTAGTTCTTGCAGGACGTCAACATATTTACTAATGCAGCTTTTCCTGTACCAAATAAACCTCGTAACAATAGTCTCGTTTATTCTCTAGCTCAGTCGAATAAATATTAATATGGATAAACAAGTAAACTTGGTAAGAATAATCACAGAACTCCATTTGTACTTTCGTTTACATTGCTCCACTTTTCACCCACGATTATCGACAAAGGAGATATAGTTGTTTTAGTTCCTGTGAATGAATTGTTGATTTAGACATATTTCCTGTTTGTCATTAACGTTTGCCTGGTCCGTCTACCATAAATCGCTATAAGACGATTTTCAGGCTAGGAAGCAAAGAGGAATTGTGTGATTGTTTCCGAGGGAGCTTTCTCTTAACAAAACTGTCTTATTTGTTTCAAGAAGGCTTCGAGAATGCTACGACTTCCAAAGCCAATGATTAGCTACTTGTGAATGAATCTTTAATCTCACGATGACAAGATATTCAATAATATCATCATGTGTAAAGAGGAAAATCAATAAAAAGTAAATTAGCTTCATGATATATTTCAATAAAATCAATGATACTGAACATTTAAAATGTGTACATGTACAGAATGTAGAGTGAATAAATGGGCGATACATAAAATAAGGGAAAATGTAATAGTTTTAGTTCTTTCCCTACCAAGAACATTCAATAATACCTGTAGAGGTCATCTGATGGTCCACAGGTCCTCGTTGGGGTCTAATAGGTGAAAGGTGAGTGAGCTGTTGGCTTAAACTTGACTGAACATCGTGAGAATGGGGATGATTTTGATGAGCGAAATTGTCTTGGGTAGCAGATGAGAGATCATGCTCCCCGAGAAATCGGGCATTACGAGGGAAGCCCCGTTCAACCAATTGCGTGAAGGATTCTGAAGGTGAGGTTGGAGCAAATTTCTCCAGGGGATATGCACACCCATCAGAAAAATAAACTGATGAATCGCCTGCGTAAATAAATAAAATGAAAAATTGACACTCTGCAACATATGTTACCTTTTAAATAATGAAATGTGATGCCTATTGTCATTAACAAATCTAATTTAGAGCTCAGTGAGATATCTGCTATTCTTTGTAATAAAGCGTTTTAACTGGACTGCGGTAAATGTAAATAATTAATATTGTTAATATAAATCGAGTTAGCTAATTAGAGTAATATTTTAACTACCTGAAACACGCGGCTCTATAGATATTAAATTTTAATTGGCGGCACTACTCAAACTCCAGATTTGTGCGATTTCAGATGTTTACGGTTTTTGACCATATAACTTAACGAGGAGGTTTAAAGGAATAAAAATTAATAAACGTGGTGAGAACTAATTACGAAGGACCGGTAGATTTTAGATTGAACGCATAGCTGCTGACTATGGAGATCAAATTTTTACGTGAATATACTTAACAACACGAAGTAGTTATGATGGCAGACAATGAAAGCTTGGATATTGCAGGTCTCCCTTTTTGTAAACCGGGAGCGGTGTATTTCATAAACTAAATGTTACCTCTGTTTCCGTCTATCCAATTATTTTCAACTACTTCAATTCAAGAAGTTTCCTAAAAAGACCTTGGTCATAGTCACTTTCTACCTTATAATAATGCCCCATGACAAAATACTGACAAATAATGTTAGTTCAATCAACTATGATTGAGCAAAGTATTTAAATTAGCAAGCAAGCCTCTATATCTTGCTTGTTCATTGAAGGTTCCGAATAGATTTAATTTGAGTGTTTCAAAGATGAAATATAAACTAATAAGAGATGAAAGTAAAAACAAACAGCAAAACTTCAAAATTGCTTATTTCGAATAAACTATTCATTCAAAACATGCAAGATTAACAGCTATATTTAAATCACAGCCTCAATGGCGAATATATATAAATCATTCAGTAATGTTCAAATATTCATCCTCTGATTGGAACAAAGCATTATTCGACACGAAATAAATGATCAAACTTTGAAGACTTCCTACCCATGGGAAATTAAGTTTAATTCTCAAGGTGGAGAAAAACTATTAATTTCCTTTGTGTAGCAAACCACAGGCTACAAAAATGAGAGCAATTTATTTTTTTTCTCTTAAAAACTTAATAAAAATCATAACAATACCAAAGTCAAAAATTTTGGAACGTGACAAGAAGTGTAGATAATTTCGTGCTATTTTTCACCAAAGTCAATGACAAAGCAAAATTTCCAATAGTGCCAAAAAGGAGACAATTTATTGCTCTCATTACCCGTATAATGGTTATAATGTCATTAAATCAATTATTGAAATAAAAAATTATCCAATCATCGTAAATGCTCCAATGATTTCATTGTCCACTTTGACAGCGAAGCTTGAACGCTTCATTTAGTTATTCATTTTAAGACTCATTTCAAGGTGATTGAACTCGATCTCTCTCTCTCTCTGTCGCACTGCGGTTTTGGATTAAAAAATTGGAACTTCGGCTTTCTGCCACCGTCCAATGATGCGTTATGCCTCCAATTAACCTCATACGCCCTGCAGCCATGTATTAAATCCCCAACCTTGTCCCTTAGGACCTCTGCAGAGGAGAAGTTCCAGATTTCGTGCCTCCCCGTATCATTCCATATCAGGCAAATCATATGTGTGAAGGAGGGGGGGGGGGGGGGGGGGGCAAGTTGGCAACAGTAAAAGACTCGATGTCGTCATAAACACCAGAGGCAAATTCATACGATTCCTCATAAAAGTTTAGTGCATTTTAGGTTTACCATTTAAGTTTCAGGGATAGAGAATTTAAGTGTCTTCAGTGCATTTCATGTGAATAAAGTGATCAACCTTATTTTTAAACGAAACATGGTCAATTTAAATATCTCACTTGATCTCGGTGCAATATTTAGTGGACTATCTAAACAAACGATTTGATTTATGACTTTAGAGAATGATATGAGGAAAAGAAAGTGAAGTAGAGAATTTATTCCTCAGACATGGAATACCAGATGTTCATTCAATTGGCGTCTATTGTTCTTTAGACCTTCAATATTCGTCATTTTTTGCGAGAAATGTCTTTGGTTAGAACTTAAAGTTATTGTTTGGATATACAAGGAAAAATGGCTTTTTATTTATATTTAATTTAGCTATTAGTTTTAAAATCAAGTGCAAACTCATTTGAAAGCTGAAAAAAGTAATAAAGTGGAAAGGTAAAGACAAATAGGATGTCAGCGTCACCCCTACTTTTAGACTTATTGAGCTGAGAGCAGCTATTCAGTGATGTAAACAGGAGGAAACCTGCCTTCAGCAAACAATTTCAGATTTGCTTTGATTTGAAGAACACTTTTTTATTCATTCTACTTTAATTTAGGTCACATTGTCTTTGATCTTTCCACCTTCTTTATAGACATTCTACGCTCGATATTAGTTTGACTGACGTGCCTAATCTCATAGGAATGTAATTAACCTTAAATTAAGGCAATTGCACTCTTTATTCACAACAATAGCAAATAACAAAATTTTATGCCAAATTTGCTGTTGTATCAGGAAAAATATCTAGAAAATCTCGATACTTCTTCATTTACTTTCTGTTTATTTGTTGACATTAATAACTTAGACTTCTGCCTTATAAATTGTAGATTAACTTTAAATAAATAACTTTTTTTGTCAAATGCACAACATACAGCGACATACAGCAAAACCTCCAAATAATAATCTGTTTATAACTTGAGTTGGTCAATCTTACTAATTTGCTCATCAGACTTTCCAAGTTGAGGTGACAGTGGCGACACTTTTTTCACCATTCCACTTTCATCACGAGGTGAAGAGTAGGCCATGCTGCCACTGCTGCCAATAAAGGGATTCCGATATCCAGCTGAGAGTGGTGAGGAATTGTAGGCAAATACAGGCGGAGCTCCCATTTGTAGAGGTCCTGTTGCTTCGGCCACCACTGCGTTATAGAAATCCTGAAAAAGAGGTGACAAAATGCAACTTTAAGGAGTTTGTAACAGTACTCAATTAATAATCTTTCTCTTAGCTATTTTTTTACTTTGCAAAGCAAGAGCACACGCAGTTTTGATAAAAATTTCTGCGGTTGAAAGAATAATGCTGAGAAAAGAACCGCTGGACCCTTCATTAAAATTGTAGCACGCTTGTAAAAAATAGAGTGTATATGAACGAGGAATAAAAATGTATTTTTCAGATTCTTCTGTTCACAATGGATTGGCAATGGAAATGAAACAAATACTTGCACTTAAGGAATACGTTGCAGAGATGTTTATTTACATTGCCAATTAATTGCGAATCCTCATTAAACGCAATTGATTTTCCTTTTGCAGGCATATAAATATAAATAAAATTAAGGAACTATACTCTAAAAATCCTTCCAAAAAATCAGCATTCAACGAAACCTGAATTTCTTTCAATTTTCCTAAATTTATCATTTCCTGAAACACTGTCGATTGCTTCATTATTGTGCATTATGGAGTACTTTATTTTCAGTTAAAAAGAAGTAGCAAACTAACACGATGGGCATCAACGCAGAAGAGACTGCTCTGATAGCCTTGGGCCTGCTGTGGGGCATGCAGAAGCGGCATGTGTAGGATTTCGGCCATCACATCAGGTGGCAGATCTTCCAGTCCGAAGGTATCACGCGGTTCACACTCACTTCCATCCAACCGCATTCGTCTGGCGGTCAGATGATGAACATGCTGCTGTTGTTGTTGTTGTTGCTGTTGAAAGAAATTCCGTCGAACACCAAGTGCGGAGAGCTGTTTCATTCGGCGCTCCTTGCTTCGGCGATTTTGAAACCAAACCTATGGATGGGAAAACGAAATTAAGAGAGAATTCGGGTCATTTGAAAATGGACTCCTTAATTCAAACAACAGTCTGTTACTTCAAATTGGTTTTCACATCTACATTTGATTTTCCCAAGTTGAAAGTCAATTACTTAATCTATTTTCGAATAGTATGATCATATTAATTTCTAATGTAAACTGTTTATCGTTTTAACTTTTATTGCCTATTTGTAATGATTGTTTTACTGCTTGAGAAAATCTGTGTGTCAAAGAGTTTTTATTCGCACTTATTACTCTCTATTCACGTTGAAGGTAAGAGATTTTCATCAATAATTTGTTCGAATTTAGAGGTACATTTTAACGTCTCTCTCTCTGTGTGTTAATTGACCATTATCAAGCATTATAAGTGGCCATTACAGCGGGTGGGCCACCATTTTACTGTCTCCGACATGCATGCTGTGATGCGCTATCAATATACGTTTGAATATTTATTTAGTGCATATATCAATTTAAATTTGTCTTTATATTCGACGTGACGTCCTAGTACATACTTGCAGTCAATACGCCTTACGACGCATGAACATGCGTGTATAAAAATGTGCCGTTTGTATATCAAGATAACACAACAGTTGAGATGACTGCCTTTATAACCCCCATCATATGATGAAATCATTTATATCTAGAAGGAAAATAAGAACTTAATTAAATTATCTGCACATCGCAGATAGCAATTTTTCAGAGACATGGGGTTAACATTTGAAAATCCAGCTACCTCGAACATTCCGATATCCCACGAAGCAAATGATGAAAATTCAATAATAAAGAAATATTAATAGCACCAATTAGAGAATAGAAAACAACAGGGAGCATAGCTTTCAAGCTAATAGAGTTCTGCGAGTCCATGGTACTATCTTCTCTGCATTTTGGCTTTCTTTATATTCACTAAACCTACAGTGGACAGTGGCATTCTCCGACAAAGCCGATTGGCCAAGAATCGAAGCTGTTGCTGAGTTTGGACTACGTGCTGGACATGATTACCTATCGAAGCACTTTCACAGAATAGGAGTGCGCGCTCAGCCAACATGTCTCCCTAGTGACCTGCATGAGGAAAGGGAGAAGACTCACCTGATTCGGTGTCCAGTCCTAAAGACAACGACAGAAACTCAGAAGTCAAATAATGAACTACTGGTAATTGCCCTAAAGCCTAAATATATGTTCCTCCCCCACCCCTTGTATAAACCGAAGTCAACTAAAGGGGATAATGATAAATATCATAAAGCCTGCCACTTGAATTACAAATACTCACTGAACCAGTGGCTTTTCATCATGCCCTGAATTTAGAATAATTACATGGAAATACACATCTGATGTCAGCGAAAATTAACTTCAACCTAATCTCTTTTGGTGAAAGAATGTTTAAGTAACTTTCGTATTTATACCTTTTTTGAGTAATTTTACATTTAAAAAATTATGATTTGAGTTCTACCCAACCTTCGCTTTGTTAAAACAGCAAGCCAATGGGCCTTTTTAGTAAAGAACATTTTTTTCATAATAGTCGAAATTAAGTGCCGAAATCTCTTCTCATCGAACATCGCAAACAAGTGGGCGCTTCAATTCTCTCGACGAATCTTGAAATTAGAATTCTGCAGATAAGACCTCTCCATATGGTCAATTTTGTGTAAACTGAGTGAATAAATCAAATCAGTTAGGACTCGTGCAAATCAATGAGCAACCATTCCATGTCAGTTGTTCCCCTCTCCCCATATAACAACGTTAATAGATGGGATTATTAAAAGCTGCTGAGAGCATATTTTAATGCACAACTTGACAGTTTGTAACGTAATATAGTTCCTCTTCCCTCTCATTGACAGTAAGATAATTTTTGCATTCGTCAAAAATAAACGAAAATGTAAAAATTGAAAAGCGCATAATCCCTCTCTTATTCTTGCGCTTAAACGAAGGGAGGTGTTCTCTCTGTATTCGCGCAACACTGATGACGCGATTGGTTAATAAGGAAAGAGGGGTCGTGGGGGG